TACGGCGGCGACTACTCCACCCTCTGAAGTATCGCCGCCTGCCTCTGCACCTACTCCTAACTGGAAGTCGTTGTCCAACTCAATGGTTGAGCCATTGTGGTCGACGAACATAATGCGACCTTTCGCYTTCCAGTTGGGAGGCAGTGTCTTCTTCTTCCCGTCTGTGACTGAGTTATGTCCATGCCCTATCTTTGCTTCKAGGTCTAGGGCCACCTTGCTGAACGAAGGAAAGTTGTGCATATTAATGTTGGCCTCTTTTGCCAACTGGTTCCTGAGTGGCAGAGATAATGTCCTAAGGTAAGAAGTTCGCAGGACCTGGGGGTCATAGCGTACCCCTGGAACACAGATCAAACGCTCTACAGCGTCGGTGGCCTACTAACTTAAACTGCCTCGTGTGCAATGTCAGGATCGCATCAGTGGCCCTTTGAGCCTCCTGTGGATCATGCCACCTGTCTTCCACCATTTTCAGGAAGTCCTCCAATTTTTGAGAGGCTGCCCAAGAGCGAAAGTCATGATCGTACCCCTGGAGTTGCACTAACCCACTCAACCATCTCGCCGCACTACCTTCTAGGTAGGAAGCAGCCACAAGCACTTCTTCGTGTGGCAAGGTGAGTTTACACCTGACATAGACTGGCACCGCCCTCAACCAAGTGTCGAGGTCTTCGCCTCTCTTGTCTCCTGTAAAAGGTTTGGGAGCGGCGATGGCCGTCTTTGGAACCCGCTGACTTTGTCCCGGTCCCTGCACCAACCCGGGCTGTGGACCCGGCGACACAGGTTGTTGTGCTAGCTGCTGGGGCTGTGTGCCCTGAGGTTGCACTAACTGAGAGACTGCAGGCTGCGTGGTGACTGCAACCTGTGACGGGCTTGGAGAAAACACTGTCTGAACAGGAACCTGCAAACTACTCCCTGCTGTTACCCCTCCTGACAGAGGCATGCCCAGGGAAACGATAGCAACCGATGAAGGGGCTACATATGGGGATACCCCAGTCACCGGTGGAACAGAAAGAGGAGGATATGGCACGGCCCAAGCACCAGGCCCTGCTGGTGATGGTACTGCCTGCGCACGCCCTGCCAACACAGCTAGGCTTTGTTGAATGTCCTGAAGGATGGTAGTTTGATGCTCCTGCATCTCAATTACGCCTAGCAGGGCCCTCCTAACTACCTTCACATCCTCATCCATATGCGTCAGGTCCATCGTCTCTAACTCCTCTATGTCTGTCCCTCTCTGTTGCATCCTGGCTCTTCTTCTAATCATCATATCTTTCTCTCTTTTTATCTTTCCTACTGCCTGCTGTAGTTGTGCCTCTTGCAGGGATGCCTGCTGGA